GCAGTGCTCGGCTCAGTCGCATTAACTGAATTTAATACCGTTCCCCAGTGATGGTTTTGTTCGGTTTCAACAGCTCCTAATAAATAACACCGACCTGGTCCCACCAAATACACAGCATAACCTTTGCAGCATGAATATTTGGCCGAGCCGACGACGTAGAAGCATGACCGGGCAGTTCCCATGACTTTTTTTTCTTTGGGTTGCTATAATGAATCCATTTTTCATCATCTGTCACGATGCGATAAAGAAAACCCTTCCTTTTTTGCCGCTGGAGCAGTTGTTCACAGGCGAAAAAACGACGCTCAACGTCCCTTGGCTTCAAATCATAAGAAACCCAAGTTTCTTGCTTTTGAGTCATTCCCGCATGCAATTGCTTGGAAATAACTTGGCGGGTAACTCCTAATGCTGAAACAAGCTGTTCTTGCGTTTGGCATGAATCTTCATTGAGCAATGCCTCTAATTCAGCGTCTTCGAAGGTTTTTGGCCTTCCTTTACGCGGACAATCGTCAACATCAAAATCACCGTCTTTGAAGCGACGAAACCAATCACGGCACGTTGTTTTACTTAGAGCAGCATTTCCGTAAACTTTTTGGAACTCTCGATGCGTTTCAGCCGCCGATTTCTTCGAATGAAATAAGAAAATCAACACTTCCCGCAAATGACGATTATTTGGTACAAAATCAGACATTTTCACACAACCAAAAGTATATGACGCCAAAACAAAATTCACTAACGTGTCAAAGCGGTTTGTTTACCATATGTCTAAGCTTGGCTCGTGACGTTTTGGATATGTTAAAATCGACCAGCACTTACTGCTGGAGCCATTTTTATTGACAAACAGCGGGAACTTAGTTGCGCACTTAATAGATCGGTAGGTAAACAAGACCTAACGGGCCCGATCTGCCCGTGGGTTTTGAGTGTTTTTAAAGCGGCACTCACTTGCCTTTAACGTCGATACTTTATCGGGTTTACTAGAGCACTTTATAGGCCGCTTCCTTCTCACAGGAGCGACCACCCCGTTTTTGGTATCCGCCGCTGTTTGTCCGCGACTGCTCATTCTTTCCGAGCGGGTTATTCGCAGCTACCATCAATACTTGAGGCCGTCTCCTTATCCGCAACCCGAGGACGCGCTCGGTGGCAGTCAGCTCTGCCCTTGGAAGGCCGGGGCTGTCCTTCCGACCCCCAATCGAGAACCTTGCGACCGACGCCTTCAGGGAGCAGCGTACCCGTCGAACCACCATCCGGTCACAGATTTGGCTCACCAGATGGAGAAACAAGCAGTGTCTCTAAAAAAAAAAAAACCAGCATTCACGGATTAGACAGTATAAGTCTCGAAAAAAGACGTTTAAAAGGACAATCAGTCATTTTAGTTGAGTTAATTGTTAGAGCGGGTTACATATATAATACAGTAACCAATGTATATTTAATTATTTGCATATGTGAACCCGGGATGCATAATGCCCCACAGTTTTGGTTATTGTAAATCTCAATCAGGATACTTTTTATTTAGTTGGTTTTTGTTTGTTTTGTTTAGAGGCACCCATTTTTGACGGGTGTACTCGAGGTGATGATATTTAGAATTTTTGACGAAAATTGTTTAAAATTATTGTCAGAACGTGAATTGTGGGTGAAACTTGATGTGATAAGCTAATTTTTGCCAACAATTACGAATATGTGGTGTTTGGTAACAATTAAGTGTTTTTAGGAAAGTCGGGAAAAAGTGACTAAATGTCAGGAATTTTAAACGTCATCACAGTTTTATGGTGTAACAAATTAGTAAACAAAGTTGAGCCACAATTCAGGTATTTTAGTTTACCTGAAAAGGCACTACGCCCCTGGAACTTAGGCAAAGTTAAAAGTGGTGAGATGTCGCTCAAACTTTGGAGGTTATCTTCTTAGGTTGTAAAGAACTACTGCCAGAACCTAACCTTGTCACCCGAGGCCCAGAGGCAGCCGGAGGACATCATTCCACATATGGACCATGGTTTAGAGCAGCTACTTCGGGACCTGGAGAACGGCCAACAACAGGATAGCATTAGGGCTGCGGAGGACGGCCAGCAAGAACACATAAGATAAGAGTAGCGATTAAGGCAAGATGTGTGATTATTCTTTTAAGTTCTTTTTATATGGTATTATGTGGTAGATTTCTGTTGGTTAGTCAAAGTTGCGGTTAAAAGCGCGTTAGTATGTACCAAACAGATAATGTTGTTCTTACGTTGTTAGCGTTTTGTTTCGTTTAAGTTAGTCTGTTAGAGTACAAATAGTGTTTAAGTTTATTAAAAGTTACAGTTAGGCTAAAACGCGTAGGTCCTAGTTAAAGGATATGGTTGTCACTTTTAGTGATGACAAGTTAATTTGTGTTTTGTTTAGTTAGCCGTTAAGGCAAAAGTTTTTTTTTTATTTTTAAGTTATGTGGTTAAGGAAAAGCCTGGGGCCGCCGGCAAGTACACTTAAAACACACACCAGTCACACCTTATACTTCCGTTAAACATACACCCGCAGTATAATACGTTAAATAAAACAAACAAACAAATAAGCACCCAAATCTACGTTAAACACATCTTATACACCTACGCAACATACGCACAAAATCCCAAGAGTTAAACGTATACATAAACATACACAGAAAATAAGTAAACAAATAACAGTTCAAACATACACCAGTTAGTCACGGATCAAGTACACAGCATGCATACACAGGCACACACCTTAACGCGCATCCATACAGTCACTTGCAAGTCGTACATACATACACGCATAAGGCCACACACTAGTACCATACACATCAGTCGGTCACACACACACCATCCATAATAAAAACAAGCATTAAGACACATACATAAGGTTACACACAAATACACACATAAGACCATATATATATACCAAACACACCAGAAAGTCATGCACACCCCATCCATACTAAAATCAGCCGTTAAGTCGCATACACAAGATCACCCAAGAGACACACATACATACTAGAGTAAACACCTTCACACAGCACACACATACCGAAGGAACACACACACTTCAACTACACTATTTTCATCCATTAACTCACACATACGTAATCAGTCAAAACACACACATACACAGTCAAATAAGCAGTCACACACACGTTGTGTAAATTAAGAGGTCACATTGAACACAGCCATACTAGTCTCACATGTTAACTCACCCATCCAACTCATACTACATGTATACACTAACACACGATTAAGAGAAGAAATATACACCATACGGGCCACATATACACAAACATTCTCAAAACACACACAGTTACTCTTATTCGCGCCCCTAGGATAAAAGGAGTGGGGAGGCGAAGCTGCGCGGTCAGGAGAGACGGCGGAGAGAGTCAGTCGATTCAGAACTTTCGTTCGGTACGGATGTATCCGAGTACACGGGCGATTAAAACCGAGTTCTCGCGGCTCGTTTTGCATATAAATTCCGGTAGATATTAAGTTTCGTTTGTAATGTGCAAAAAGAACAAATGTTTTGTATAATCAGTATTTAGTGTTGAATAAATATATGAAAAACTAAATANTGTTTGTGCAATGTGTTGTTGTTATCCCTGTGCCCCGGAGAAACGTATTCAAGTTGGATAAGAGGGGAAGGACTGGAACACACTGCTAACGTAATCCTTGGTGTTTGGAGGAAGCGGACAGCGATAAAACACCTGGCGACCGTTGAAAAGGGGACGACAAAAAGTAAGTCTCATCCATTCGAACACCTAACCCCGGTCACAACCTAACCTTGTCACCCCCCAGGGTGCATTCCAACTGGTGCCAGAAGTGGCACAGGAGGTTGAGGTAGAACAAGAGGAGACGGAGTCGCCGGAGTTTGAACCGGTGTCGCCAAGAAAGGAGCCTGGAGAGATAGAAGAAAGCAGAGAAACGTGAGAGGGAAACACAACGGAACGGAGCGTCGTTTGTGATAGTTAAATAGACCTTTTATTTTTACTTTTGTAGCGTTTCGTTTTATTTTATTCAGTTTACGTAGTCAAGTTGTTGGGTTTTATTTTTCCTTTTTGCGAAGCTGCACGTAGAAGTGTAAGCACAAGGGTGCTGTTTATGTGGTTTGTTTCTTTTTGTTATTTTTTTTTATGTTAAGTAAGTACGCTAACTTAGGGTAAGGACAGCCACAGCGGAGCGTAAAGCGATGGCGACAAAAAGTTTTAGTTTCTGTAAGTTAAGAAGTTTTGTTTTGTGTACGTGTAAACCTTGAGTATAAGGGAAGAAAGGTAGGACAAACACACACACATCACGTATACAACATTCATACCTAGATACAGCCCTTAGGTCATACATTTCATCCGTAACACATGTACACTCAGACTCGTACTTAAGGGATCATACACACGTCAAACGTTCAGGCGTCACATACACGTCATACACACAAAATTTTAACACTTAAGACAAACTTTTAGTCCACACCACATAGGTACTCAAACATACACATAAGCAATCAGTCATACACCACACAGACAAGTATCACACACACATCATCCACACAAGTTTTCGGTGCTTAAGACACAACATTAATCTACACTACACACATACCCAAACACGCACTTAAGAAAACATTCGCACATCAAACAATTAGGTAACATACACACATCACACACACAAAGTTTTAACGCTTAACACTTTACCGACCGGCCGTCGATTAATCGACGTTTTGTTCTCAGCGCCTACCGACCGGCCGTCGATTAATCGACGTTTTGTTCTCAGCGCCTACCGACCGGCCGTCGATTAATCGACGTTTTGTTCTCAGCGCCTACCGACCGGCCGTCGATTAATCGACGTTTTGTTCTCAGCGCCTACCGACCGGCCGTCGATTATTAGACGTTTGCTCGCCAGCGCTTACCCACCGGTCGTCGATTAATCGACTTTTGATCCTTCTGTTATATTTGGTTATGTTAGATTNACAAGTAACAAGCAGCAAGCATTTCGCATTCTTTATTCAGATAATCGGTGCTTTTTTCTAAGCTTTAGCCCTTAGAAATGAATAGAAAGAATAGTCTCGGCGAGTTTTATCTTGACGATCTGTCAGATTGTGTTGACTGCCGTTTAGCAAGTAAGACTGATGACGAAAGTGATAGCAGTAGTATAACCATTCGAAAGCGACGTCCTGTACCGCTAATATACAGCGATTCAGAAGACGAGGATATGAATAATAATATTGAAGACTACAATGATACATGGTCAACGAACGACAAGAGTATAATTTTGGAACCTTTCGAAGGCAGCCCTGGCGTGAAAATTGTGCCAAGGTCCTCCAAAAGTGTAATGGATATTGTGAATTTATTCATTGGAAGTGATCTGATTGAGCACTTCGTGAGGGAGTCTAATAGATATCATTATCAAATTGTGGAAAAATATAGAATTGTATCAAAAACGAAAAAATGGAAAGACGTCACGGTGACTGAAATGAAGAAATTTTTGGGCCTGATAATTCTCATGGGACAAGTAAAGAAGGAGGTTCTCTACGATTATTGGTCTACAGACCCATCTATAGAAACGCCGTTCTTCTCGAAGATTATGAGCAGGAACAGATTTTTAAAAATAATGCAAAGCTGGCATTTTTGTAATAATAACGATATTTCTCCGAATCCGCATAGGCTGGTGAAGGTCCAGCCTGTCACTGATTATTTCAAAGAAAAATTTAACAACGTATATAAACCAGATCAACAATTGTCTCTAGATGAATGTGTAATTCCGTGGAGAGGTAGATTGTCAATTAAAACATATACTCCGGCAAAAATTACAAAATATGGAATACTGGTTAGAATGCTGTCTGAAGCTCGTACAGGATACGTATCCAACTTTTGTGTGTATGCTGCTGATGGAAAAAAATTAGAAGAGACAGTATTATCGGTCATTGGACCGTATAAGAACATGTGGCACCATATATATCAAGATAATTACTATAATAGTGTCAACATAGCTAAAATTTATTTAAAAAATAAATTGCGAGTGTGCGGGACGATTCGAAAGAACAGAGGTCTTCCTCAAATACTTCAAACGGTCAAGCTTTCAAGAGACCAACATCAATTTCTTAGAAATGGCCATATTTTATTACAAGTATGGAATAATGGGAAAAGGAATGTAAACATGATAACGACAATACATTCTGCACAAATGGCGGAATCTGGAAACAGAGGCAGGACATCAGATTGCCCCATACAGAAGCCTATTTCTGTAATAGATTACAATAAATATATGAAGGGCGTAGATCGCGCCGATCAATATCTGTCCTATTACTCCATTTTTAGGAAAACAAAAAAATGGACAAAACGTGTAGTAATGTTCTTCATCAATTGTGCACTTTTTAACTCCTATAAAGTATATACAAC